TAGTGTAATGGCTATGTCGCTGAACTCCCATGCAGTCGACCACGGTTCGAGTCCTGGACCCAGTGCTTAAAACTCACACTGGGTGTATGTGCGTGCGTGCCCAAGATCCCGAGAGGAGAAGGGAGGAGAAGGCATTGTGGCATGACCATCCCCCCTGGGGGGTGATTTCTCGCTTTCTGTCTATGTTTCTCTCTGTCTGGCAAGCACACGCACCCTATAGCAAAAACCTCTCCAAAAAAATAATAATAATAAAAAATTAAATTAAATAATTATTTTTAAAATGATAAATAAATGCAAAACCTACCAATCAAAAAAATAAAGAAGTGGGAACTAGCAGTTAGCGTAATGCCTATGTCGCTGGACTCCCACATAGTCGACCGCAGTTCGCATCCCAGATCTGGTGGCTTAAAACTCATGCTGTGTGCATGCGTGCCCAAGATCCCGAGAGGTGAATAGAGGAGAAGGGATTGCGGCGTGGCCATCCCCCCTGGGGGGTGATTTCTCGCTTTCTATCTCTCTGTCTCTGTCTGTCTGGCGAGCGCATGCGCCCTATAACAAAAACCTCTCCAAAAAAAAAAATTAAAAAAAAATAAGAAGTAGGACTTCTTTTTTTTTTTTTGTAATTGGAAAGGGAAAGAAAGCAGCTGGTTTGAAGCAATGTAGTTGGGATTAAGAAACCTAGAAGGCACCAGCAGATGTTGTAATGGTAACATCACTGGACTGCAATGTAATTGACTGTGGTTCGAGTCCCAGACCCGGCAGATTGACATTCAGACCAGGCGCATGTGTGTGCATGCCCAAGATCCTGAGGGGAGAATCCAGAGAAGGAATTGTGGCTTGGCCACCCCACCTGGGGGGGGGTGATTTCTCACTTTCTCTCTCACTGTCTCTGTCTCTCTCTGGCAAGTGCACATGCCCTAAAGCAAAAAAATATTTTTTTTGGAGAGGTTTTTGCTATAGGGCATGTACATTCGCCAGAGAGACAGAGAGACAGAAAGCGAGAAATTACCCCCTAGTGGGGATGGCCATGCTGCAATCCCTTCTCCTCCATTCTCCTCTCAGGATCTCTGGCATGCACGCACATGCACCTGGCGTGAGTTTAAGCCACCGGGTCCAGGTCTCGAACCATGGTCGACTACATGAGAGTCCAGTGACATAGCCATTATGCTGACTGCTGGTCCCCCAAAATTTTGTTTTCTAATTTAAGAAAAAGACCTAAAAGATACAGAATAATGTTAATCTTGAGATAAAGGGAGAGGTTGGGGTGGACTTAGCAATTAGGGAGTTGTCTGGGAACAGGTAAAAATTGAAACCACAGTAGTGATGAGATCATGAAATGGATGATGTATAGGAAAAAGAAGCTAGGAAAAGAACCTCTTGGGGTCAACAGGTGGCATGGTGGTTAGAACACTGGGCTCCCACAGAGCAACCATGGTTTGAGTCCTGGAGACCTGGTGACTTGTTTTCTCACTCTCTATCTCTGCCTCTCTCTCTAGTGATCACATGTGTCCTATAGCAAATTATAAAATAATAATAATGATAGCATTAAATAGTTTTTTTAAAAAGAAAAGAACCTCTTTTACATATAAGAAAATGCAAAGAAGACAATGGAACTTGTAGGGCAGAGAAGAATTAGGAAGGTGTCAAAATATTATTGAGTGTTAAGATGCTAAGAGAAAAGCCAAAGGAGGTAGAAACTATAAAAAGATCATTGAATTTAGGAACCAGCAGTTAGTGTAATGGCTATGTCTCTGGACTCCCACGTAGTCGACCACGGTTCGAGTCCTGGACCCGGTGGCTTAAACTCACATTGGGTGCATGTGCGTGCGTGCCCAAGATCCTGAGAGGAGAATGGAGGAGAAGGAATTGCAGCGTGACCATCCCCCCGGAGGGTGATTTCTCACTTTCTGTCTGTCTGTCTGTCTGGTAAGCGCACATGCCCCATAGCAAAAACCTCTCCAAAAAAAAAAAAAAAAAGACCATTGAATTTAGTTAATAGAAGACTTCAGGACAATGATAGGAAATAGTTACAAGGGAATTATGGAGTGAACAGATGTTTTGGTGTTGAGTAGACAGTTGGATTTTCTCTTTTCATTGGACTAGCTTAGTTTCCTGGCTGTTTCTTTAGTTCCCTTGACTTCTCATATCAACATATGTCATATTTAATTATAATTATATTGCAGGTTGTTTGAATTCTCTAGTAGTCTCTCTGTAAGAGTAGTACCATGTCATGTTCATCTCTGTATCCCAGACACCTAGCACAATGCTTCATGTGTAGCAAATGACCCGGTAAATATATTGGTTAAATGAAATATTCTCTAGTAGCATGACAAAGACATGAATGAAATGGCAGACTATACCATCCAGATTGGATAAGGAACAAGTGAAACAATGAGCTGCTTAATGGATGAATTAAATAGGGACGATGCCAAGAGATCAAAGTAGTTAAGTATTCTATGCTCATTTGAAGCAGGTGATATCCCATAGTGTAGGACAGAGAGAGTATATTCAGTAATAACCTGATTTTGTTTAGAAATGAAAAGAAAACCTCTTCGTTAGCTGCAGGTTGCCTTAATTTTATTGGCTATATGATAGGCATTCTCTTTTTTTGCCAACTATGTGGGTTTTATAATGGGTGGATGAATTTGTAGGATTAAAGGGAATAAAGTACTAACATTTTTATTAGGCCTAAATCCAGCTCTGTCAAGAAATACATATGTAGAAAATGATCTTTAAGTTTCCTTGTAGGTCTCACTTTCTATGATACCATTTCTTTTTTTTTTTTTCCTAATTTGCCAGAGGGCATGTTTGCTTACAGGAGGGAGGGGAAAGAGATAAAAAGTTACCCCCAGTAGGGAATGGCCACACTACAATCCTTTCTCCTCCATTTATCCCTCCTTTTGGGATTTTGGGTATGCACACATGCACTCGGCATGTTTTTTCAAGCCACTGAGCCCAGGACTTAAACCATGTAGTCAGCTATGTGGGATCCAGCCATCTTAGCTACCATCCCACTGGCTGGGCCCCTATGATTACTTTTTCTAATAATTGACTTTTTACTGAAATGTCTAGAATTTGGCCAGAGAGCAATCAGCCAAAGGAGAAAACCACCCTCTGTGATGTTTAAACATGGTTTGTGGAACTACTAGTTCTTAACTCTGATAAAAGTTGAAGACAGCTCACTATATTGTATTTAGTTTTACATATCAAGAATGTCTTGAAGGACTCCTTAAATTATCAGGCTGAATAACAATTAAGATCTGACTTTTCTGTTACCAGGACCGTAAGAGGCAATATGAGCTGCTTAAACTTGAAAGAAACTTCCAGAAACAGTCCAATGTGCTAAGACGTAAAACTGAGGAGGTAAGAAAATCCACTCTGCTAGGTCAAGTGTATTGTCACCTTCAAGTTTAGATGCTGGCAAAGTAATAACCCTTAAATGAACCAGTGTCCTGAGAAAGCAGGGATCACAATCTTGACTAGTAATTCCTAAATCTAGATCCCTATTCATATGTCAGGCACTGTAAACAGATTAAAATCCTGATGAAAAATGGTACTATTCATATAAGGACTTTTTTTCTAATTGAGTTCGATTTTTTCCCCCAAAAAAGCAGAGTGATATTGGTATGTGACATTTCCAGACATTTTAGTCTACAGAACTTCCTTGAAATGTATTTCTTCCCTAGGTTCATCAGTATTAAGTCTGTGGAGACTTACAAACCTGGTTCCTATAGAACTCAAACCCATTAAAAATTTTATTTTTCTTTACTAATATGCCAGAAATTAGAATGTTCTTCTTTTTACCCTTCATTCATTATTACTATGTGCAACTTTATTTAGGCAGCAGCTGCCAACAAACGCCTCAAGGATGCTCTCCAAAAACAACAGGAGGTGGCAGATAAACGGAAAGAGACTCAGAACCGTGGAATGGAAGGCACTGCAGCTAGAGTAAAGGTATGGCCGTTTCTTTAAAATACACTAGGTGATAAGAAAATATAGAAGAAAGCTTTCTTTTGGTTTAAAAGTAACCCACTTAAAATATGCCAACTATCTGTACTCTATGGCAGAAACTGAAAGATGAAAAGATATAGAAACATGAAAAATTACTATGGATACTGGAGATAGTGTGGGAAGAGGGCAGGAAAAGGGGAAGAGTGTGAGGAAAGAAATTAAGGAGAAAAATAGGCAAGACATTTATGAAATTCAGAAATGGATTATTATCTGTTGATGATAATGTGTATAGTATCCTGGATTGGTGTGAAGTGTATTCAGGTGATTACAAGCTAAGTTAAGTATAGTGATTGAATATATAAAATAAAATAAGTAATAAAAAGTGCAAAAGCCGAAACTCTACTTGAAAGTATTTCCTAAAGATCCAGGTATCTTCAAACTATTGTTAAAGACTCAGGAATATAAAAAGAACCCTTTCTATCTTTGCTCCATCAAAGTTGTTACTGTTTTAAACAATTTTGTTCAGGCATAACTTATAGACAATAAATGATTCATGATTAAAGTGTACAATCTGTGGCCTGGCAGGTGGTGTGGTGGTTAAGGCGCTGGACTTCCACATGGCTGACCATGGTTTAAGTTTCAGATCTGGCAGCTTGCTTTCTCACTCTCTCTCCTTCTCTCTCTGTTTCTCTCTGGTCAAAACAAAGAATAATAATAATAAATAAAATAAAATAAATAATTACTTTTAAAAAATAAGATATATAATCTGATGTGTTTTAAAACACATATTGCACCCACAGAATGATGACTATCATCAAGATAATGAAAATGTCCATCACCCCCAAAACTTTCTTTATACCCCTTTCTAATCTCTCCCTTCCTTCCCTAGACTACCCTTCTACTCCCCATTCCAAGCAATGGTTGTCTGGAACCACACCAATCATGGCAACCATTAATCTGCTTTCTGTTACTATGTATTTGTTTTCATTTTCTAGAATTTTGTAAAAACAAAATCATGCAGTATATCTGGTGTTTTGAGGGGGAGTGCTTTCATGCAGTACAATTATCTTAAGATTAATCCACATGGTTCAAGTATCATTACTTCTTTCCTTTTTATTCCTGAGTAGCATCTTATTCATCATATTGATATACCATAATTTTATCCATTCGTCTGTTGCTGGACATTGGGGTTGTTTCCAGTTTTTGGTTATTACAAATTTTCTACTGAACATTTCTATACAAGTCTTTGTGTAGACATTTTTTTTTTATTTCTTTTGGTTAGATAGCTAGGAATGGAATGGTTTTCTCCTATGGTAGAGAAATGTTTTAACATTTAAGCAATTGTCAAACTGTTTGACAAATTGGTTTTATCATTTTACAAGGGGACTTTAAAAAGTTTGTGAAAGGGCCAGCTCTGTAACAATGGTAATGTACTGCTCATGAGAAACCAGATCTCATGTGATGACCTTAGTTCAAATCCTTGGCCTGGTGAGCTTGAAACACATGTGTGTAGAGCATATACACAAGTGCTCTACGTCTGACAGACTAAAGAACCGAAGGAAGGGAATCTGTAGTATGACAAGACCCTGTGGAATGTCCTCAACATTCTCTCTCCCCTAACTCTCAATGTGCATGCACACATTCTCTATCATGAATAAAGAAAAAAATTTAGGTAAGAGTTTATTTTGGTGCAAACATAATTTTTAAAAATCATGCATAGGTTTTTTGTAATGCACTATTTCCATGGACTTTTTGAACAGCCTTCATATGTTTGTACTGGCAACATACAAGCATATGAGGATTCTAGTTGCTGCACATTATCACCACTACTTAGTATGGTCAGTCTTTTAAATTTTAGCTCTTCTAGTGGTAAATAGTGGTACCTCAGCATATTGGTAGTTTTGTTTTTATTTTTGTTTTGTTTAGTCTTTACATTCAATCATTGTATATTACTATAGCACACAACATATTTTTCAAGGTGTGCATGCAGTAAGTGACAATCAAACATGTTATCATAACCATCATTTTCAAGAGAGTACTTTAGAATCTTGTATTTGTTAAAAGTTTCTTCAGTTAACCATTCCCACTCATCTTTTTTCTTTAATTATTTTTTTATTTATTCATTCATTCATTTTAATTTGACCAGAAAAGACAGAGAGAGAGAGGGAAAGTGAGAAAGCAAGCCACCAGGTCTGAGATTTGAACCATGGTCAGCCACGTGGGAGTGTCTAGCACCTTAACCACCACATCACCTGTTGGCCATGCCCACTCATCTTTTACTATCCATTCCTCCCCTATATAGTTTCTGCTATCTACACTTTTCCTCACTACAATTATATCTTCAGATATTTCAACTTCTGCCAGAGTGCAGACATTCGGTAGATATTAAGCAGGGATATACAGTGTCTTTCATTGTTCAGCTTATTTCACTCAGCATTAAACCTGTATTCTTCACTTCGAATCAAATGACAGGGTCTAATTGTTTTTTTATGACTGAGTAGCATTCCATAGTGTATATGTGCTACAGTTTTTCAATGTAGTCATCAATTCTTAGGCATTTAGATTGATTCCATGTCTTAGCAATTGTGAATAGTGCTGCAATAAACATGGACATACAAGTGTCTTTCCAACCAAGTTTTCCTGTGCTTTGGGTAAATAGCAAGCAGTGGGATTACTGGGTCATAGGGTAGCTCTATTCATAGATTTTTAAGGAAACCTCCAAATTGTTTTCTACAGTAACTGTACTAATTTACATTCTCGCCAACAGTATGAAAGGGTTCCCTTTTCCCCACAGCCTCAAAAGTACTTGTCATTGTCATTCCTTTTTTTTTTTTTTTTTTTTTTTTGCTGACTAGAGTTAAGTGGGAGCTCATTCTAATTTTGATTTGCATTTCCCTTATGATAAGACATGTCAAATATTTTTTCATAGCCATTTGGGTCATTTGTATGTCTTCCTTAGAGAGTTTTCTGTTCGGCTCATTTGCCCATTTTTTAATTGGATTATTCATTTTTCCATACAGGAGCTGCTTGAGTTTCCTATATATTTTGGTTATCAATCCTTTATCTAAAGCATAGCTTACAAATATTTTTCACCTCCCTAATGACTAATAATGTTGAGCATCTATTCACGCGCTTATTTGCCATACTGTGTTTTCTTTTGTAAAGTATCTGTTCAAATCTTTTCTCCAATTTTAAAATTTGATTGTTTTTTTTTTTTCTTATTACCAAGTTAGAATTCTTTATTCATTCTTGGTATATCCTACAGAGAACTTCTATGTTTTACAGATATTTCTTCCCAGGATGTAGCTTACCTTTTTATTTTATTTTATTTTTTTAATGTTTTGCCATATGGCATGTGTGCATGCCCAAGAGAGGCAGAGAGACAGAAAGAAAGTGAGAAATTGTCCCGCAGGCAGAATAGCCATGACATAATCCCTTCTCCTTTATTCTCCTCTTGGAATTTTAAGCATGCACGCACATGCACCCAGCATGATTTTTGAGCCACCAGGTCCAAGACTCAAACCACGGTCAACTATGTGGAAGTTCAGCATCTTAACCACCATGCCACCTGCTGGCCCCAACTTTTCATTTTATAGCAGTGTATTTTGAAGAGCAAAGCTTGTTAATTTTGATACCATCCGATTCATTTATAGTTTTTCTTGGATACCTTATGGTTTTTACATCCTATGTAAGATATTTTTGCAAAACCCATGATCACTAAGATCTCCTAAGTTTTCTTCTGTAAGTTATGTCACACACACACACATATATATACACATACACACATATATGTATATATGTGCTTATATATATATACTATATGATTATGTGTGTATGTATATATACACATGCATACGTATATATTACTCATAATAGCATGTACATATGTAAGTGAGAGAGAGCCAACTCAACAAGGTCCTTTCACACCTTGATTCCTTTCCCTGGCTGTCCAGTTCCTTCAGATCTTGGGCATAGGACCAGCAGATGGCATAATGGTTATGTCACTGGATTCCCATGTAGTCGACTGTGGTTCGAGTCCCAGACCTGGCGGCATAAAACTCACACCTGGCGCATGTGCATGCATGCCCAAAATCCTGAGAGGAGAATAAAAGAGAAGGGATTGAGGTGTGGCCATCCCCCTTGGGGGTAATTTTTTGCTTTCTCTCTCTCCAGTGAGCACATATGCCCTGTAGCAAAAATCTCTCTTTGTACACCTGACATGTTTTTAATCCAATTGAAGATTCCAAACACAGGGTCAGCCATGTGCTTTCTAGCACTGCAGTTTATTTACTACCTACTGTGCCACCAGACTTTGCCAAGAAGTTTGTATATTTTTTGAGAAAGATTTTTGCTATCAGGCACATTTTCTCACTGAAGATAAAGAAAGAGAGACAGAAAGCGAGAAATCATCCATCAGGGAGATGGCCACACCACAGTCCCCTCTCTTCCATTCTCTTCTCAGGATTTTGAGCATGCATACACAAGCGCCCGGCATGAGTTTCAAGCCACCCGGTCCAGGACTTAAACTGCAGTTGACTATGTGGGAGTCCATCAACATAACTATTATGCCATCTGCTGGTCCCTGTATTTATTTTTTAATTGCTAGAGGACATGTATGCTTAATAGAGAGAGAGAAAGCAACCCCCAACAGGGTGTAGTCACACTACAATTGTTTTTTCTCCATTTCTACTTCCCATCAAGATTTGGAGTTCACGAACATGTGAAGTCCCACCTTGTTTTATTCCAAGCTTCTGGGGCTAGGATTCAAACTGTGGTCAGCCATATGAGATTTGGCTCTCAATGCACAGCACTTAACCATGGTACTACGGGGCTTGCCCTGAAGTTACATTTTTCCCCCTTAGTTTGCTATCGGGAGCATGTGCTCACTAGAGAGTTACAGAGAGAGAGAAAAAAATGAGAAAGCACCCTCCATGAGGAATGACCACGCCATATTCCCTTCTGCTCCACTCTTCTCTCAGTATTTTGGGCATGCACACACACAT